AGTAGATTGCCCAACCTTCCTTCTGAGGAGTGGCTGGTGGGTTTGAACCACCAGCCTTCTGGTGAGCAGTCAAGTGACTCAGGCACTATACCACCAGAGCTCCCGCTAGCTTGTTTAATCTTTGTTTATATCTCAAAAGGGATTGATTAAAGGTACAACCTATAATAAACTTACCTCATTAATATAACAGAAAACTCATTCTCAAATGGGATTATAACCATAGGCATAGAGGTTAGGATTTACAACATATATTTTTTGGGACATAATTGAGTCCATAATATGCCACCTTTTGTCTCCTCACCATATATAAAACATATTTACCCTATCACATCACCCTAAAAGTCTTAAAGCAACTCCAATTCTAAAATCTCATCTTCTGAATCATCTAAATCAACTATGGATGAGACTTTAGGCATATTCCATCCTGGGGAAAAGTTCTATTCATGTGTAATCCAGTGTAATCTAGAGTACAAATGATCTACTTCCAAAGTACAGTGGTGGAAAAGGGACAAGGTACATATTTCTATTGCATATGGGAGAAAAAAAAGTTCAAAAAATCCAGCAGAATAAATTACATTAGCTCTCAAGGCTTGAAATAATTCTCTGTTCTCTGAGACCATCTGGGCATTGGCCCTGCCCTCTGCATTCTGGGTAGAGTCACCTTGGTCTTGGGTTTCAGCTCTGCCTTCCCAGTCCTCTGGGTTGAAAACTGCTCAGTAGGCTTTAGGTAGCCCCATTCTTCTAGTCCATTAGATTGGTAACCCCACCTCCTCAGCCCCAGCAGGTCCCATTCTTCTGTCCTGTGGGCTTGGTATCCTTGTCCCCTTAGCTTTTAATGGCAGTCCCATATTGCAGAACCAAGTTGGTGAAGATCCAACTCTCTGGCACCTAGGAGGCTGTCGTCCCACCCTTTGAGATCCAGGAGACTGTGGCCCACCCTTTGAAACTCAGAAAGCCTTGCTTCCTGTGCTCCTTCCATCAGTTCTGCTGATCTCCAACTTGCTCCATCAATGGTCTTTTTCTTTTCTTTGAGGACAACAGATACAGCTTCCTTTGG